GACCAGAATCAAGTGTTGGTAGTTTGTCAAGCACATGGTTTGTTCTATCATATATCATATATTTCTTATTTTCAATGGTCACAGTTTTTGTGTCATATCCTTTGAAATATATTGTCATTGAAACTTATAAGTTTCTATTAGACTTTGGAGAAAATAAGGCATTTTCTATAAAAAAAAAACAGCTTGTTCATTGGTAATAGAAAATGGGCTTTCCCGGTTCCCTCTATCAAGTCTGCAGGACCTGATATTGATGTATGACTGTTTTGTTGGTACTATTCTTAAAAAATATTTCTTTGATTTCCGAATAGTATGTGTCCTACCACTATCTGCATACAAAAGATCTCCAATCCTTTTCTTGGTGTTTGTGCTCCAGTTGGACTCATATTAAACTTCACTATATAAAGGAATAATAGTGACATAACTCAATCATAATTATTATTAAAGAAAGTTCATTTATTGTAGGAAAGACATTACATGAAAAACAAACCGAAGGAAAAACAGTTTTACTAGAACCAATAATAGATTTTTTAGTTTATGTCTCCATGTCATTGCCAGAAATCAGCAACAGTTAGTGGAGTGAATTCAACATTATCAATGAGTTTTCTTCTTTTCCTTTCCTTTAATGGATCTTGATAAAGTTGACAAAGATGTGCAGGTGTGCGACAGGGTCCTTGACCAATGGCCTGTGCTACCACATCTATAACATGAACCATCAGATTTTTGTGATGTCCCAGTGTCATGCCTTGCCACTTTGGCCTTATCTTGTGTGTGGACATTGTTTCTTTGTGAATATTGGTAATTATTTCTTTTCTGGCCACGACCACGATTATTACCTTGTCCACGACCAGAATTATGGTTCTGATTATGGCTTTGGTTTCGTATAAAATAGCCACAGCCTCGTCCTCGACCACGACCTCGCCCTCGTCCACGTGTATTGTTTCGATGACCATCAATATTTGTAGCATTTGCTCCAGGAAGTGCTACTGATCCCGTTGGACGAGATTCATGGTTTTTCATCAAGAGTTCATTGTTTTGCTCTGCAACGAGCATACATGCATTCAATTCAGAATATCTTGTGAACTTTTGCATCCGATATTGTTGCATCAAAGTAATGTTTGTTGCATGAAATGTTGAGTAAGTTTTCTCCAACATATCTTCATCAGTAACCTCTTGTCCACAATACTTGAGTTGTGAACATATTCTGAACAAAGCTGAGTTGTATTCATTTACTTTCTTGAAGTCTTGAAACCTTAGTGTTCTCCATTCATCTCTAGCATTTGGAAGTATAACTTCCTTTGATGATCAAATCCTTTCTTTCAAAAGTCCAGAGAATACTTGGATCAGTAACATCAAGATATTCAAATCTCAACATTTCATCATATGCTTACGAAGGAAAACTTGTGCTTTTGCTTTGTCTTGTGCCAAGCAATTATTAAATTCATATAAGTATTTGAGATACCCATGGATTCAAGATGCATTTTACATCTATCATCCATGGCACATAGTTTTTCCCACTAACTTCAAGTGCTGCAAACTTGAGCTTTGCAATGTTGGACATAATGTAACTATAAATTTAAAAAAATAAAATTAAAATTAAATCCATTATTTCAATAAATATTACACAAAAGAAGCGGAAAACTAACATTGCATACAAGCCTAAAAGTAGATGAAATTCCATATTATCTTCGATGTTAAGGATTGGGATGAAAAGTAACATGACTATTATAGTCATGATTATCACAGAAGGATGAATCATCTTGAAGCTTGATTTCTTGAAATGATTTATTTGATACAAGAGAGAAAATTTGTTGTGGGTAAAATAAGCAGGGTAAAGATGTTTATTTATGGTAAAAAAATATAGCCGTTGTTTTTGCTTTATAACCGTTGCATATATATTCCGTTGTGTATATGTAGATGTATTTATAAATCATGTAATAAGACTTATAACTAATACATAACTTTACTAATTAGAAACATAAATACAGATTAGAAATGTGTTTAAATAAATTATGAAGAGTATGTAAAATATAAATAAACATTGACATGTATAAATAAATTAATTTAAATGTTAGTATGCACAAATAAAAGTTAGTAGCATAATATAAATGTTAGTATGCCAAATAAAGTTAGTTGCATAATGTAAATGTTAGTTTGCATAAATAAAATTAGTTGCATAATGTAAATGTTAGTATAAAAATTAGAATAATCAACGAAATGTTTAGTATAAGAAAATAAAATGTTATAGTCCTAATGTATTAAGTTTTATTAATTCATTAGTATATTATTATTTTTAATCTGATTAGGTTTTATATTAATAGTGTTTTTAATAAGTTAATTACTAGTGTTTTTTAATAAGTAATACATACATTGATTAAGATAGATGTGATTTCCACTTGTTTAATAACCTGATTAGAGCGTTCGTGCTGATCACGTGTTATGAATTAAGCGTAATTAATGTAACTAAAATCAAACCAAACTAGTAAACTTTGATAAGAACTTTAATTGAGAAAAAGAATATTTAGAGAGAATATGAAAGTTATATCTCTTATAACCTTTGGTGTATCACATTCTTTACAATGGAGGGGTATTTATACTACAAATTTTACTAACATATAATTGTAACTAGTTAGAAATGTGACAAATGTACCATGCACCAATTATTATGTCATCCACAATTATGTACAAACCCAACAATTATTTACAACAATATATATCTATATATATATATATAATCTATATATATATATATATTATATAGATATATATATATAAAAGGATCATGCAAGAACTTTTTTTTCGTTGTGGACATCTTAAAAAAATTGAAAAAAAATACAAATCATAAAATCAAGTATAATACTATATTGGAGAGAAAATAAATTGAAAAACAAAATCTGGATCATTAAAATTGAATCATGAATCATTTTTATGATCCATGATTCACTTTTTATGATCTATGATTCAATTTTAATGATCCAATTTTATTCTTTTTTCAAATCTTTTTTTCTCTCCAATATAGTACTATGATCGATTTTGTGATATGTATTTTTTTTTAATTTTTTTTTCTAAATTTTTAAGGTGTACTCACGAGATCTCACCGAAAAAAGAGTCCCCACCGGATATATATATATATATATATATATATATATATCGAGATAGGATCGGGTAAGGACTTTTTTTTCGGTGAGTACTCGAAAAGACGTCTTAAAAAAATTGGAAAAAAAAATACAAATTATAAAATCGAGCATAATATAATAACGGAGAGAAAAAAATTGGAAAATCTTTTTCGATCATTAAAATTGATGGCATGGATCATTTTTATGATCCATGATTCAATTTTAATGATAAAAAAAAATCCAATTTTTTTCTTTCCGATATAGTACTACGTTCGATTTTATGATTTGTATTTTTTTTCAATTTTTTAAGGTGTCCTCACGAGTCCACACTGAGAAAAAAGTTATCACTGGAACAAGACCATATATATATATATATATATATATATAATCTATATATCTATATATATATATATATATATATAAAAGTTGAACTTAGAGTTTTGCAAAAACTTATGGAATCATAATCCGGTTATTATTTTTCAAAACTAAAATCACCATTAGACACTTACCGTTTTGTTTAAGAGAGATTCATGCTCAAAACAAGATTTGACCGTTTTTTTTTTCAATGTGAATATTTTCACATTTGAATGTTCATATAAATATGCATGCATGCATATTTAGCGCTTTTATTTATTTATTATTTATTTTTTTGTTTTGTTTTTTTAAATTTCAAAATCAACACAACAATGAGACTTTAATACCAACATTTAAGAGAATCATAACTTGAAAGCTTTAAAAAAACACATAAAACATAAATGTGCATGAATATACATTTAGATGCGTATATATGCACATTTCAAAAAACAAAAAATCATCAAATATGTTTTTGGACTGTGGATCTCTTTTATACGCCATTGTAAGAGTCCAATGATGGTTTGGTTTTCAAAAATGATGATCGATTTAATGGTTTTCAAGCTCTCGCTTTCTTTCTCTCTCTCTCTCTCTCTCTCTCTCTCATATATATATAATTATATATATATCTATATATATATATATATATATATATATATATTATATATATATCAAATTTGTAAACACGCTAGACGTTAGCTAGTCGGTGGACTGAGGTTAAGGGACTAATTGGGTAGACGAAGATTAATTAGAGGATTAATCAGAGACCATTAATTGCTAATATTTTGAATTTAAAAATAAATAATATGAATAATATCATAACAAAGTTTGTAAATACTACTAATATGATAACAAAATATGTTAATATGATTAACACAATATTAATCATTGTTTGAATAGTTTTATTATTATATATATATTAAGATTCTGAAAAATTTTAACAGTAAAGTGGAGGATCTTTGTCTCATTTGGTTCCTGTAGTTTTGTATAACATGTTAACTCTATTATTTTTGTCAATTTCGGCCCTTCTACTACCACTGTTTATGTATATGTGTTTAGATCTGTCTCAGGGTCATTTTATGTCAATATTCATATTGTTTGTGTATACGTGTTGCTTCTCCTTTGCTTCACCGCTTTTTTCTCCAATCAAATTCCGATCTGTGTAATCCCTCTTTCCCTTCTTCCAAACCGCTTCCAGTTCCCGATATCTTCCCGATTGTTCTAATTTTTAACCTGATTTCTTCTACTTTATCTACCGTCCTTTCTCACTCTTCTCTCAACCGATCATCAGGTGCTCAGAAGTCACAGAAGGTTCCCATCGATCTGCTGACATCGGTTCTCATCTTTACCCTCCTTCTCTACATGCTCCGTTGATGAGTTCGTCGGCGTCTTCACGCCTTCTCTCAGGAGGACGCAATGGCAAACTGGTGTATAGGCGGATATCTCTACTTCTCTTTGTTGATGATTCTCACGAAATCAGTTCCCTCTTCGCATTTGATGTTCTTCCTTCTAACTTGAAATTGACGATGCTTCAGAATGATTCTTCTTCTGCTACTATCGATGGTGTCCAAGACAGGCCTAAGATGTTGGCAAAAATAACACATATTTATGGGTTTGGGTCTTTTTTGGGTATGTTTTTGCAACTTACGAATTCACTCTTTCCGATTTGTGCTTGATTTTGGACCAGACGACTACAAATATGTGATTTTTAATTAGGTTTGTCAGAATCTGTCACAACAGATCATTGTTTGCTTTTTTTTTCTGTCGCGTGATGAGCCTACAACAACTGATGTCGGCTGCTTTTTGGTTGGCGTGTCTTCGCTTTTTGGGTTTACTTTCAGATTGTTTGTTTCTGCAATTGGAGATTGTTTCTGCAATTGGAGAATGAGAGCACGGAAAAGAACACCGAGTGGTTGGTAGTTACGACCGAGGAGGATTTCATCATCGCCACTCACCACCCGATACACTTCATCGCCCTTGATGTTGTAATGGGATTTGAAGGAGAGTTTGACTATGCACCCCAACTGTCGATCAAATGCTTGAACTAGGGTATGTTGATTTTCAACCAAATTAACTATTATATAAAATCTTTAATGCATAAGATTTTCATCTGATTGAATCTATTTTGGTCTAATTATATATGGTGTTAGTGGGAAATGTGTCTTGGCCTCAGAACTACAACGATTCAAATATCAACAAGCTCGGTAAGCATCTTCCTTACTGAAATATTGCTTAACTCGATTGAGATGCAATTATTTGTTATTCCTTAATTGCTACATGTTCAAATTATTGAATTTTTGTCGTTTTTTTGTGTTTGATACCTCTATTGTTTTTGTGTTTGATACCTGTATTGCAACATCTTACTTTCATTTTATTTCATTTCTAACCATTGGACTTTGAAAAGTAACTTTTTGGGTATGGTATTTGTGGTAGTTTTCATATTTTAAAGGTGAGACCGCATTCACCCTGTCCTTAGAGGTAATTCATGACAGCTTTTCTGTTCATTTTTCTGTAATGGTGTTTTTTACTGTTATAAATAACATCGGCTGCTTACAGATTGAGCCATATGCAGTAATCCCTCCACCAACAGTTGTAGATCGTATGCTCAAAGATCTTTCTCATGTCGGTACATTTTTCTATATTTATATTTATGAATGTTTTAGTAGCACACAAATATTTTCTATGATCATAATAACTCTTTTTTTATAAATTAATCGCCATATCTTCTATTTTTAGAAAGAACATTTGGGAATCAGAGAGGGAAAAATGGCAAAGGGCCCACTTGACTGGAATGACTACAAGTCCATGAAATTCATTCGTGCGGTCAGTTCTGATTTTTAATAGATTTGTTTATTATTACATTTGAAGCAATTTATGTAAGATTTTGTTTTTGAAATGTTTTTATTTATTTATATTTTAATTTCTAAATAATTTTGATTAATTAAACTTATCATATGTGGTGGTGATGCAGGTGATATTTGAGACCTCCAGATTCGCAACCACAAAAGAAATGGAACTCAATGGTAAGTTTTTTTTTTATTTATTATTTTTTAAAATATTAAAGAAAAGGTTTTATTGTTTATTATTTTAAATAAGTTACAAATGAACATGTTATAATAACTTAATTAAATTTTAGATTGAAGTAATATAATAATGGTAGTATCAATTTAAAAAAAACATATAGATTTCGAATAGATTCCTATTACGTCTTTTATATGCTGCGGCTGGGAAAAATCCATATCAATCCATTTCTTCTATGAGAGAATTGGAATAAAGGCTTCATTCACATTGCTAAAATGTCTTGCTAAAGCCAAATGACAAGACTACCCTTACCCACCTTTTATATGTACTTCCATCAAAAACTAGATCCTCAGTCAATTTTGCTTTATTTATTTTTATTAAATTAACACCCAAACACTTTTACATGTCTTAAAGATTGATGATAGAAATCTCAAAATAGGGAGAAGTTGAGTCAGAGGTTAAAGGTATGCTTTTGAAAACATATTACCTTCTATCTTCTAATTTATACTAATCAAAATGGACCGTTTAGAATATATACTTTCATTATTGTAGCAGAAAATGCATTATCAGCAGACATTTGAGAATATATATCCTGTGCCTATAGAATTCAGAAAGAATCAGCAGTGGTATGTTTTTTCACTAATCCATTGTATTTTTTTTTGCCATTGATGTTTTCTTCAAACAGTTTTAAAAGGGTGTCCAAAGACTTAACATAATGTTTTTTTTTTCAAATTCTTCATTTTGGATGAAATGGTTTTTTATGGGGCTGGGGTTGACTTTAGGGTTTGACTACCATGGGACTTTTAGAGTTTAGTGGTATAAGGAAGGTAAGTGTAAAATCGATTTGAGGTAATTCCAGTGTTTACGTCTATAGTGTTTCGTATGATAGAACCTTACTTCCATTTGTTCCTATTACAACCTGTACTTTTAACCTTTTTTCACATTAAGGAATGTTACTTTATAAAAAAAATATACCCAATTATAGTAATGGATAGTTGGTTGCTATTTCTTACTGTTAGCAACATGATATACTGATTTTTAATTTTTAATCATTTTTAGGAAGATATTTTATTGTGTAAGCCGAGAGAGTTGTGCTAAATCTTATGCAAAGAATGAGTTGCATTGCCACACTCACAAAGGTAACAATAACATCTCCATAACTTTATAAAAATTAATAATACTACATAATAATCTATAACTATTAAAAAAAATATTAGTTTTTTTTTAACTGTTATAGGCGATGGTAGAAGCTGCAAACCCTGCGTGCATATTGAAACACCAAAAACTGTACTAGCATTATTTTGCCGGATAACTCGGAGTTGAGGTAATTTCAATTTCAGTTTCAGTGAGTTTGTTTGTCTCTTTCCCTTTTAATTTCAAAGCCAATTTTTTTTATTGAACAGGTGGAGACAAGGACATTTGAGGAAATAACCAATCAAACATCTTTCTCTGTTTAGTGTCGCACCGATTCTGATTTATTTTTAGCTAGATGATATTGAAATTCTGCCCCCCGCGGAGCGGTGGTAACCCTCTAGTTGAGATTAAACTTTTCAAAGTGTTAGATTTCATTGTTTTCAACTTTTTCACTCGATGTATATGCATGGATTAATCGTAGGCGCTCTCTAGTCGGTAGAGTAGAGCCTAGCGATTAAGCGAAACCTATTCGGGATTTTTAAACATTGATCATAGTATATCTATATAATATATATATATATATATATATATATCTATATATATATATATCTATATATATATATATATATATCAGTATATTTAGTATTACTATATATTACATATATATATATATTTCTTTGAGATTCTGAAAAAATAAAGATTTTGAGATTTAACCTTAAACACATATTTTTCATCTGTCGCTCTAGCGATCGATCATACCGACACGACAAGAGCGTTATATTTATAAATGATTATGTATTGTGTCCGTTTTTTTTCACTATCACTTTCCCCACCACCATAATTGTGACCGCCACCACCACCATCGCTACCACCTCCGCCACCAACCGACCCTGCCGCTGTTACCTCCTTCACCTCTATCTCTACCTCTGCCAGGGGAGATTTTATAATTTACAACTTGCCCGGTTTTGATAAGTGAAAGTCATTAATGAACTGCCTAATTTTATAAAAAAATGAAATTGAAGAATATTTTTCTGATTTAACTCTATAAAATTTTGAAATTATATTAAAACCAGAATAATTTCGAATTTTCTTGGTTAACCGTCTAGCTTTTTTTATTTAATCATTATAATATGAATTTTCTTTTTTTCCAAAAAACAACTCTATTAGAAAAACATTTTTCCAATGGTTTTTTTGGTTCAATAAAAAAAAACCCAAACAACATACTTTTTTTTAATGTTTTTACTAAAAACCATTTTTTTTTATTCTATTATTTAAATATATATACTTTTTATATTTGTTCCATTATATAAAAATATAAAATATGAAAGTATAGTAAATAACAAAAATAATTCTATTGAAAGTGCCCCGTCCCAATGGTATCTCTAAAGAGTAAAGCCTATGTAGATTGTGCATGCAGCGGTCGATACTGCATAAGGGACATAGGGCCACCGTTTTATTAGTTGGGCCCTATTCAAAGATATCATCATCAATTGCTATAATCTTGTGGACCCGGATCAAGCCCAGTACTATTAAGGGCCCACTATTTTCAGATTTTAGTATTTTTTTCCTGCTGCACGCCTGAAACAATTAATTATCAAAAATGAGAATAAATATACGGCCATCATTTGCAGCATGATATCTGCTGATCATCAATGTATTGTCTCATATGGATATGGTGAAAATATTACTGTTTTATAAAAAGAAAAAACAGATGGAATACAGCTATTCTTAAAATCCAACCTACAGTTTAATAATACATTTGGTCTAATGGTATAAGGACTTGTTGGATATAAAGCCAATGTATTACAAATTAATGGTTCAAGTTTTGTTGTGGATGAAATATGAACACTAAAGTAATAAAAGCCTGCGTAAGCCGTTCATATTTTTAATAAAACGAAAAAAAATACTTTAACTAAATAGAAAAAAAGCATCAATCTACTCGTTAATTATTACCACAGTTCAAGACTGGTGGAGGACTCTGATTTATATTTTATCAAATGTCATGTGTCACTATCCAATTGGAGGTGTTATATAGTATTTTTGCTTTTATATATAAGTTATATTTGATGAACTAGATAAAATGTTGTTAGTTGAAAAATAGACGATAGATTAAAAGTTTGTTGTTAGCTAATAAAAAATAATGTTCGATAAAACTAACAAATTATATACAAGATGACATAAGAAGGTATATAAAAGATTGAACTTTTTAATAATTAATAATTTATTTTAAGAGAATTTAAATAAGTTCAACAAGTTTATTGAAACCTTAATATTAGAGCATCTCGAATGGTTAACATATATTATCACAAGAAATTATTACAATATCAACGATATATTAACTTTAACTTATAATTAAATAACATCTCCAATGCTTAACATTTTCCAATAATTTTTTCTTTAATTTTACCTAATCTATCATTATCTATTTAAAATGTTCTATAAAATTCCATCCTCTTAATTAGTCATTTTTAAACACACATCATATTTTATAGACGTTGATGTCACAGACAAATGACAATAGTAATAAAAATATACCATATATTTATCTTATAAACGTATAATACAAAAAAATTAATACGCTACAACTATAAAAAAGATTGAAAATATTATATAATCATTATAAATTTATATTTAATAAATAAAATGTCATTAAATATTTGATAGAAATACTTAATTAGTAATTAAATTTAAAATATGTAAAACTAAAATATAAATAAGGATAAAAAGAAATAGAATTAGAAGATGAAAGAATTAAATATACTAAATATGAAAATATACTAAACGTTTTAGATTGTAATGTTTGAAAATATAAAAATTAGTTTATAAACTGTTTTTCAATATATATTGACCATTCAATATATTTTAAAAAACAATTTATAAACTAAACTTGTCATGACAATCTAAAAAGTTTAATATAAACTAATTTTGGTGTGTAAAATATAGTTTTAAATGGTTGAAAAACATAAATTACTTTTAGTAAAAATAAAAATAAAATATATCAATATATGTAATTTATTTTCTATATAAACAAAAGCTAATAATATGTATTTTTTGTACTTTTTTATTTTCTATAATCATAAAATTAAAAATAAAAATAAGAATAATAGCACAAAGTTTATTTTCTTTTTGTTCAAATTAAATATGTTAACTAAGAATGATTATAAACCATAATATTTTATATGACAAATTGCATAAATGACATTAAGTTTACATAATTTTTTATTTTGATATTCTGTTTTTTTTTTCTCAATTAAATCATTAAGTTTACACTTTCGTTGCAAATTTAACCAATCGAATGGTTTGCTTCAAATATTTCATGTTCCTTACTCGATGACTAGTCAAAAAGCTGATAACTTCCACATATAATCTAAGTAGGCAAATATTTAAGTTAAATTAAATACTAACGGAAATTTGTACTCATTTTCCTTATTTCTTCTTCATATCTTCTCTCATAGCATCATGATTTTGTGTAATGGCTTCTCACGGTCGTTCAACTTGTTCATCATCACATAATGGTATAAGCAAGACAATGAGAGATGTTACTATGGACAACCTTCCTTGCCTTGCTTACATCACTCTCGGATGATGATCCGCTTAAGCAACTTTTAGGAAGCCATGCTATCTTTGTTTGAGGAAAATCCCAGTTTAATAAAACATTCTGAGTACAAATGTTGTTTCAAAATAACAAAACCCTAAGGATGTCATAATCAATACACAACAAGAGTTACAACGTAAAGACATATCAGTCCTAAACACTATTGCAGGTTGTATCTTATTCAATCGACATCCTAATCAAGTTCCAACAGCCTTAGCACTGCTTCCCATGATTAATATAAATTTGAGTGGGTCAGGTTTCGAAACCTAATGAGACACATAGATTTTTCAATCCCATAATATTATTATGATTATAACTCATAAATAATAATGCTGTAAAACCAATTGTTACCAAACAATATATATATATATATATATATATATATATATATATATATATATATATATCACACAACATAAATATCTATAAGACACTATACACTTTATCCTTAGTTACCCAGCCCGTTGATTCTCATGTGCTGATCTTATAACAATGATCATTTGAGATCTACCTTGATGTATCATTGTAAGCAACGAGTAGACTACACTGCTTTAGGGATTCCTTAGCAATATAAGTCAATAAAGGCAACGATGAGGGATATAGTACCCGAATGAACACACACTCATTTGTTCTGGATAAGCATGATTCATTAACACTTACAGATTGAGAGTTTGCTAGCGTTCCACAAGA